CAGGAGGGAACTGCAGAGTGGTATGGGAACAACAGAATGGGCGTGGATAAGTGATGAAGGGATCATTACCTTAGGATCATCTAGTCCTGTTCCCTACCTGTGAATCCCCTGGATAAATTTATACACTCCGCCCTCTGTACCGTGGATTCAGTCAACTGTGGGTTGAAAATATATGGAAAAAGAAAAAAATTCCGCAAAGTTCCAAAAAGCAAAAAACTTGAATTTGCAGCATGCTGAGTACTATGTTTAATCCAGGAGACTTAAGTGATGTATAGGCATTATATTAGGTACTATAAGTAATCTAGAGATAATTTAGAGTTTACAGAAGGATATGTGTAGGTTATATGCAAATATTATGCCATTTTATGTTAATATAATTGACTAGAGCATCCTCAGATTTTGGTATCCACAGGGAACCCCGAAACCAGTCCCTTGTGGATACAGAGGGAGAACTGTATTTTTCAAAGCAGATGCCAAAAGAGTTGCTGAATGAAGAGGTGACCTTTAGTGCAGCCCTAAGGCATTTGGTGGTTATACTTTATCCTGCTCACCACACAAAGAACTACTCTCCTTCCCAGTCCCTCCTTCCCCCGTTCTTCCCACTCCTATAGTTTCTCCTTTCCTTCCCATAAAGATAGTCTTTCTTAGTCCTTTCTTCTTTTTCTTCTCTCTCTTCCTTTGGCCACAGATATCCCAAGGGCCACAGATGGCACTCATGGCTAAGAAGAGTGGTTCACCCTTAGATGAAAGCATTCACCACAGTACAAGGAACAGCATAAGAAAGGACTGCTGTGTCAGGCTTCCTGCAGGGAGGTTGAGGAAGTGATTACTGTAGCTACCAGTAAACACAGCCTCTATGAAACTGAGTCATTGAGCCCATCACGCCCAAACACCTGTTCATTTTATGGCAGCTTTCCTAGACACCCAGGGTAGAGATCAGGACAGTTCCAGTTGCTGTCCTGTTGGGACAGGGATATCAGAGTATAAATACTGTTCATTATACTCTCACTTCTTCCTCGGTGTTAATGAATACATGAATTAATTAAATCATCCTATAAAACATAAGATTGTAGAATGTACTAATGCTAATAATTTTCTTCTTGTGACAGATGCATGTATACTTGCATTTCCTTTATATTGAACACGTGACTGAATATTGTACCTATTTTACAAGCAAGTTTGTAGCTCCTCCATGTCCTCACATTGCTTCGTGCCACTTTTACATTTGCTCTTCACTGCCTTTTCTGTCACCATTTGTGTCTGCCACATCTGCCTTCTGCTCTCTGTCCTCTTTTCTGACTTATGTCACGTATCTGCCCTCCTATCTGCCACTTTCTCCTGAAGCATCTACTTGTTATATTGTCAGACTTTACCCCACTCTTCTGACTTTCTGAAATTTCCACATTAAAGGGTCATATTACCTATCTTGGACTTGAGGAAGTGATCTTATATAAATAAAGATGGCTCTACGTAAATAATTAAGACATCATTTTCAAATTTTAGAACACTTAGTTCAAACTACTTGTAAACTCAGGTTTTTTTTTTCTTGTTATTGTTGATTATCAAATGGCTTATCTTTAATAAACAATGCTAAGAAGTAATTTTTTATTTTATTGAAGTTTTTGTATTATCTGAAATGGATATTTGTATTTATGTCAAGAATCTTGGGCATAGCAAACAATATAATATGATATCATGCATAGTGCTTAATCATATAGCTGTTCTGCAGATTAAAGATATTTGGAGAACATGAAACTGGTATTAAATAGTATTAGACATTTTTTTCAAGTGATACTTTTTGGAAATAAGAGATTTCACAATGTGAGGAATCCTATTGTTTGACTATAGAAATAAAATGAATATTGGGATCACGAATGTTCTGTTTGGTGGATGCACTCACT